TCAACTGTTTTGATAGATGAGTGTTAGAATTTTCATTTTCGAAAGATTTGAAAAATCATGTTATCGGCTGCCGTAATTTCTATAAAATTATCTGCACAATTTCCAGACCTTTGAAACGCTTTTGACCCTAAAAACGTTTTTTGAGCTTCTTCAACTTTTAAAATGACATTTTGACCTTGCCCCTGTTTTCTGAAGTGTTGTACATGTTAGAGGAGGTAGCGAAAAAGAATTGGCAGCAAAAAAACTGGTTGCCTAGGGGTTCTTTGACTGTATATACATATTTGGAAGTCGAGGGATCTTCTCTCTCTCTCTCTCTCTCTCTCTCTCTCTCTCTCTCTCTTTCTCTTGAAACAAATAGTGACAACGGATGAGGTAATAGCGGGGTCTATGGAATATGTATGAAAAAGAAAATAGCGTGTAATTACCGAAGAGTATAGAGAAAGGGGATGATAATCAGAGGAATACAGTCTTCATTCCTCTTTATTCCCTCCAAAGGGATTCCACTTTTTTTCTAGTGTTGGTGGTCTTTTATTTGATGTTCGCCCCGTGTTTTACTGGCAAATGAGAAGAGATTAAGGCCCTTGTTTGCGTTACAGCTTTTCTTACTTTTCGATTTTCAGTCAGTCTTATTTTTCGATCTGAAAAAACACCCCTCATCTTTTCCTCTCTTTGCTTAGCGGTTTTTTGAGTGAAAGCAGGTGCTAACGTCACTTCCTCTCTACAGTTTAATAGGGGAATACATATGATATGACACCTCGATGGCAGTCTTATCTTGTCTTCTATTAAACTCAAAACCCAGAAACTGAACTTTTGGTTGTCTATAACCTTCAGAAGGTTTTCTGAATAGGAAAATCTAGCTCTTAGACCAATGACCCTATTACGGGTTAAATGGGATTCTCAAAGAGGCTCTATTGGGCGTAGGTTGACGCACCGCGGGAGGTATCGTTATGCAAATATCCGAATTTTGAGGCGGAGAAACCGAAAGGAACTCTAGAACTGCTAGAGATCAATCTCTGAGGGATACTCCTACTAGTACCACTTTCGACGGCGGCTCTAGTAGTGTTTACATACGTTACACGTACGAGACGAGCACCAGGAGAGAAGCGCGCGCGTGAAAATCGACGGCAAACAGTACAACTTGCTACTCATCTTATTCTTCTTTTTCTTTTTCTTGCCCGTTTCCGCTCTACCAGCTTGCCCTCTCCAGCCTCTTGCTTCTTTTTTTCTATTCGCGCATTTCTACTTTCCGCAATCTGTCCGCATTGTCAATTTGTTCGAGAAATATCAACCTTCGAACTTTTTTCCATGAACCTTAATCAAGATTTTTGAAAAGTTTACTCAGAAGTCTTTAATTAAGAATTTGTTAAGATCTTTTTGCGATTTTCTTATAGCCATACAGCAATTTTATGGTTTTTAGATAAAAAATCAAACTTTATGGTTTTTAGATTTCAATTTTAAATGAGATTACTGTATCTTGAAAATTCTAAGAGCTGAAAAAGATGTTCAAGACTTTTCTTTTTGTTTTGGCACTTTCTTCAATACTTGATTTTCAAAATGCTTAAAGAATCACTACTTTAATACTTTTTGCTTTTGTTTGGTTTTATCATAAATATCCACACGTCGAATTTATTTGTTATTGTTTTCAATTTGAGATTCCTCAGAAAATTTCTCAGGTCATCATTGCTAAGCTTTTAATGTTCCTATTTTCCCTTTTTCCAACATTACTGTTTCATGCTTTTTCGTTCTCCTCTCCTCTTCAACTATTATCAATATAAACATTCCAAATAACAAAAACGTAAATACTATAGTCGTCATGTTCCATTCAAAATATTATTCATTCCTACATCAAAAGATCTTTATTTGTCAACACAACACGACGTCCTGATTGATTGTGAAACACACAAGCACTCTATATTTTGCTAATTATCACCCCCCCCCCCCCCCCCCGCTATATGTCACTTTTTGAGTTTATGATAACGTCGTTCCCACTCTCTATCTGACGTCTTATTTTACCCTTTTTGACTTTCCCGCATTTTTAAACTAGTATTCTATTGAAAATCTGTTCACAAAAATGGGCTTTTTGGATACAATTAAAATGGGTTTGGATACGGTAAGCTATTTTTTAAATCATCCCCTTTTTATCAAAATTGCTTTCTCACTCGAACAGTAGTCCTAGTTCGGACAACAGGAAGAGAATAGGAATTGAAGAAAAAGACACACCCAATTGGCCAAAAACAACAAGAAGGATAGGCTGGATACATAGTAGCAGTTGGGTGATTCATGTCGTGATCACACCTTTCTCCTTCCCTCTCAAAACTTCTTCTCATCATCAAAAACCTGTAGTAATTAGTATTCGGTTTTCCTTTTTTTTCATCATCTAGTCTTTCTCGTTTTTGATCAATTTTGTTTTATTCTTGAGGTTTCATTTTTGAGGTCGATTTTTGAGAATAAGAAATAATGACCAGGACTAGAACAATAGCGGAAAAGAGAATAAAAGAATAAGAGAAAGAAAAGCTAGAGCTTATCACAGAAAGTTTTTCCTGGACACGAATCAGATAGGAGACGAGGAGAGTTGCGAAATTGGGTGTGTCATTCTGTTGAAAACTTAAACTTTTGTTTAACAAAATTTTCGAGTAAAATTTAGAGACAAAAGAAATTGGAATGAATGATCGGAACCGGTCCTAGAGGGCAGGAGGAAGAAGAGCTAGGTCGTGTGATTACAGTTTCCTCTTTTTTCTGATTCTAATGACGTTATCAAAATTGAATAGACTACTATCATGTGATGGTATACTGCTTGGGTGGTTTCAAGTTTTCGGTAGGATAATTTTCAAACTTTTCATTTTTGACAATTCGTTTTGGAATTTTTCAAAAATTGATATCTCAGATACATTGATTTTTGAAGCTCTTCTAGAACATATGTTCTCAACACTTTTGTCTTTCCAACAAAATCTTTCGATGCCAGAATTGAAGCAAATCAAACTGTATTTTATAAAGTTTGGACTTGGAAGTTTTGAAGTGCCGTTAGCTCATTCTATTGGATAGGAATATCTCAACACGAATGTCAGAAATAAAAAAACGGTAGTTGCTTATAAGTTTAACTCTTTGAGGTTTTGAGCAATTTGTTTTATGTCACCCCACCTTTAATTCTCAATTACTGATTTATTACTTCCATTAGAATTCCAGACAAGGGTGTGACCTTGTTTCAAGCAGTTTTTATTCTATTCATAACCACTTCCGTCCTTTCCACATCCTTCTTGTTCCTAGAATTATCGATATGCATAAATTATTGCCTATCAATCAGCAGTCCTCTACTTGAACTGATTACTCAAACTTACATCAGTTCAATTGTTCATTTTCCTCTTTATTTCTTTTTGCTTTCGCTGGATGTGGCCCCGGAACCGGACAAAAGGTTTAATTCCTAAACCTGTCAAGGCGTTAGTGTCTTCTTACCTTATCATCCTAAAAATCTGCAAATAGTGCCATTAAACCCCTAGGCTTTCGAACACATTTCTGCAACGAAGAACAATAGAGTTTTCGAGCTTTAACGACTTGGCAATAGACAGGAACATCTTATTCAAACAGCTCTATGCTATTTTTAGCAACAACTGTTCTCTTATCATTTTCACACCTCTTCGAAGGTCTTCTGCGTAGGATGGAAGTGATTCACGTTAATTTCTGTGTGCTCACAAGCCACCTGGTTTATAATGAAGTGATTGTAAGATAATGGTTGTTAAAAATGTTAGTTCTTTCAGTTTGTTTTATTAAAAAATCAGATGGTGGCATAGGCCTGATAGGATTATTTCGAAATAATTTTCGAAAGTTTACATGTACTTTTTGCAAAAAAAGTGCATTAATTTGATATACCATTATTTTTTTCCTCGTCAAGCCTAATTTTCTAACTTCCTAAGCATTTTGAAAATCTGTAAACTTTTGGCAGATTTTTCACATTTTCTGAATTGAGATCAGCTCAAAGGGCCAACGATTTTTCCTGTGATTTTTAATTGCCAACTTGTTTTCCGCGAACTCCAGAAATCTATTTTTTACGGTTTCATTATAGTGCGCCACTTTAACGGAAATTCCATTTCCAATAATTACACCTTCTGGTGCAAAGAATAGGTAATAGAAATTAGAACACTTTTTATTACTTCGTTTCGGCATAAAATCTATCAGTTCGTAATTTCATCTGATGTAAGATAATGAATCCGGCTTTTATAATGTTGCCGCCGCCAATTCGTGTCACACACTCGTCTGAGTGCAATAAAATCATCGATTTGACACTTTTGCAACTTCTGTGAGTCATTGAACTGAAAAGTTGAACTGGATTGTTTTAGAGACTTGAAATCAGTTCACCCCGAATTTCCAACTCTTGATATTTCCGCTTCGCGAGTCAGCGCGTCAACTCGTTGCCCATTTTTGACACAATATATAATCCACTTATGTTTTCAAATGTTCGCATATGCACTCTCTCACGGAATAGCAAAATACTATCTTTTTTGACGTAACAGAATGAAGCCTGTCTGCGGGGTTCCGCCCTAACTCTCCCTCGAAACTTTTCTCCTTCTTTCTATTCTTCTCTTTTACTTTATGATTTTTTTTGTCGCGCCATCCACACACACACACACACGTTTTTGCTTATCAAAAATTATCATTCGCTGGCACCGGGTCTAGTTTTTTTTTTCCAATGCATGTCTTTCTTTGGCATGACAGTAACAGTAGTAGTACAGTTTTGATTAATATGCAAGTGAGACCGAAACAATAAATTTTGGCTATCAATTAGTGTTATCATTTGTTACAAAGATAGATTTCTATTTGTCGACTGACCGATACAGTTTGTTTTGCCACCACAGCTCCTGGGGAAGTCTGAAAGACTTCCTGATTAAAATTCAAGTCACTATTTTCAAGCTTTTTTGTTTTTTTTTTCAAACTAAAACTTCCAATATTGCTTACTAACACTATTTCAGGTGAAAAATTTCTTTCAAGCCAAGGAGAAGGACCACAGCATGTCACCACCACAAGAAAACCAGCGATCGCCAGTGGGCGGGTACCATAACCGTTACAGCCCACAAGTTATCAATAACACTCAAAATTCCAAGAATAAAGGATCCATTGAAGCAATGGCGCACCGCAAACCGTTCGGTGAAGCTAACTTGAACATTCAAGGTGTGTAATAAAGTTCACCTCTTAACTTTAATGTTCCTTTGTTGTCGGTTCCTTTCCTCGAAAGTGATACTCTTCTTGTGTCTTTTAATTTATTACTTTGATCAAATCACAGTTTCCCTTTTCAGTCCTTTTCCTCCTTTGGCACCTGTCTATCAGACCACACTGTCCATCAAACTCCTTTTATTCAAATTAGAATACTTCCTTATCAATCCTACGTTTTTTATTGCAATTTTACACAAAAACCGCAACTTTCACTAGAATAGTTCAAACTTTGTTGTATTTCGGTGTTGTACCTTTTGTTAGTTTGTGCTTCTTTAATTAGTGATTTTCTTCAATGATCCTTTCCGTCCTTTTCAAACATGGCCTTTTTTTCAACCCGTCAATAACCTCTTGTTGTCTTCCTCTACCGTCATAATCTTATTAGTTTTTGCCTCAACCCCACAGTTTCCTGTTTTCTCAATAATTATTGCTTTCCCAGGCTCAATGCCAGCCAAGAAAGAGGGGTTCAACCGTGTGCTAGACGGTTTGAAGAAGCGTCAATTACAACATGATTTTAAATTGGAACGTGCTGCGGAGACCTATGAGCCTATCCAGAATATTGGGTCGGGAGCGTTCGGAATTGTTTGTGAAGCTGTAGAAACTTCAAGTGATGATAAGGTTTGTTAGATGACAGATGATGATTTTTGCTATTTTGGCATTTCAGGTCGCCATTAAAAAAGTTGCTCATGCTTCCGCCACTCCTACACTTGCCAGACGTACACTTCGGGAAATCCGTGTCCTTCGCTACATCGACCATCCAAACATTGTCACACTCCGTGACATTTTCAGAACACAAGGTCCACTTGGCATCGACGTTTTTCTTGGTAAGCTTGTCAGTTGTTTACGACTCTCCACAATTGATATGATAAGCGTTTTGGAGTTGTATTAAACGCTAAAAATACTCTCAGCACGTTTTTTTGCGGAAAGAGCTAAAAAAAGACGAAAGAACAGTATACTTTAGTATAGTACCATTTTATTTTTTTTCCAGTCATGGATCTGATGCAAAACAACCTTCATCACATTATTTATGGAAACGAGGAACCATTGGATGAATACTACATCAACCAGTTTTTGGGACAGCTTTTGAGAGGACTGGAGGTTCGTGTTTTCCATTTTTCATCTTACGTTTGAATTCATTCCTCTCCGATTCGTATCGTTCATGTTCTTTGCAGTATTATTGATAACACTAATCAAACAGTCCTCTTCTCTTTCTTTGAGCGGAAACCAAAAGTGTACTATACGAATAAATGTAAACATATGATTGAATTGGCTGAAACTCAGCGAGCCACCGCCCTAATTCTCATACATATTTCTAGTGAGAAGAAGGAGAAAAGTTGTATGAATGATGCCGGTGACGTCCTTATTCTGGCGCCAGGTCGTAAAACTTGAGCGCTGGGGAATGAACGAGAAGAAATATTAATTTTAGAATAATGACAGAAGCTAATTGAAATTATTCTAAAATTAAACATTCAAATTTTTTTAGTACCTTCATGTCGCCTCCATCGCACACAGAGATCTAAAACCATCGAATCTGCTAGTCAATCAGGATGGAACTCTTCGGATAGCAGACTTCGGAATGGCCAAGTTCACAGACAACAGTTCAAAGAAACATGACGATGAGGAGCATTGTTACTATATGACTCAACATGTGGCCACCCTTCCATACAGAGCTCCAGAACTATTATTTGTCCTACCAGAACACTCAACAGCAGTTGATATGTGGGCGGTGGGATGTATTTTTGGAGAGATGGTCACTAGAAACGAGTTTTTGCCGGGTAGAAGTGTTCAGGGACAGATTAAAATGCTTCTGGCGATGTTGGGACATCCACCACAACATGTTATCGATGAGATCAGATGTGATCGCACAAAAAAGCTGATTCAAGACTACGAAAGAAGGGCAGACGGCGAATGGGATGATATTATGTATTGCAAGGCTAGAGGAGATCATGTAAGTACTGTCTTCAGAAATTAATTTGATAAAGAAGAAACAATTTTCAGCAAATCGTTCGTGGACACTGCGACACTATTGATTTTGTGAAGCAACTCTTCCAGTATGATGCTACAAAAAGAATCAGCATTCAAGAAGCATTAGCTCATCCTTACATTCAAAGAGTCATTGAGCCACAGGGATCTCAAAAGAAATGTCCTTTCAGAGTAAGACTATTGCAATTTTCTATAGAAAAACTGAAAATCAAAAAACCATTTTAGGTCAAGAAAGATATGATGCAAGTGGAAGACTTGAGTCATCAGGAATTAATTGAAATCATGAAGCAAGATGTGAGGTCTGCAGAGAACACTTATAATGAGATGCGATCTGGAGGTAAGATTTGATCTACAATTTATATCTTTTCAATTGCAAATTTAACACTGCACCACATTTTTACTAACATGATTAACAACAGATTACAACCCATGGATGGCTGGAGATTTCCAAAGAGACCGAAGGGAACAAATCGAGAGAGCAAATTATGATCCAATGTATTCATCTCGGAATTCTTCGAATCAATTTGCTAACGGGTGCTTATTTTTTAACATTTTCTAATTTTTAACCAAGACTAGACATTTCCCTATTTTTATAAGTTTAGATTCAACCAAACCATTTTTTTTATTAACAACATAAAGCACTTCACTGTCTCTAACTTTTCCATTATTAACTTTGAATTTTTCAGATTCAACAGGCAGCACCAGTTCGGACAGCCTGTCAGCGGATACGAGTGGCGAGTATCCGCCTATGGAGCAGCATGAGAAAATAATGGAAGACGTGGCGACACAAATCTCGATTTGTGAGCCGTCATCCCTGTAAAAATTATGTTATTCCTTTTTCCATGTCTTATATATTTCTTTTTTTTCCAAACATATCTCTGAGAAATCCCTCCCATTCTTTCCCTCAAATTGTGTCTGAAAATTGGTAGTTTCGTCACACGTTACCCTAAGTTTGCTTCAAATTGAAGATAATGGTGTATATAGAAAATACATGTATTGATTTTTATTACCCTCTATTTTTTTCTCATCACCAGGCTTATTTATAACCCCTCCTAGATCCCAACCCATCTCATTTTGAAGCCCACGTCTTTGAATTGAATTGAGATTATATTTATATACTGAAAAACATCACTGTGTCCATTTTTTTTCTTTTCGCCCACCTTGAAACCGCTGTTCTTAATTGTTCTAGTCCTTTCCCCTATTTTTCTCTACTTTTTGATGATTTTTTGAATGAAAATTGTATCTGTGTAATTGATGAAAATTGTTCAAACGTTAGAAAGAGCAACTGGTCAGCACAGTGTCTCAAATGGTCGCTAAAAGATTTTTTTTCAAATTTAGGACAAAGTCAGAAAATCAAAAACGGTGAAGCTTTTCGGGGAATTGACCTTGTAGGGACTCGTGGAACTACCAGCTGAGCTACGTGGTAGCGAATCTAGCTCATGACTGATTACCTTTTGGGGTAAAATAAATTTATTCCAACCTTATTTCGATGGCAACTGACCAGCTATGCCCATAGTTCCATTCAAAAATCCGTTTTTGTATAGTTACCAAAAACTCAAAGTCCACTTTTGAGTTTTATTGTTTTGCACAACAAAACTCATCATCTGATAACCATTGTACTATCATGATAATAGTTTCTACTGTTTTATTATTATGATTTTATGTGTGCACTTGTCAAAAACGTCACTCTGATAAGCTGGAACAAAGGCAATTATAATTTATCAGTAACTTTACTTTTTCGTCGATTCGAAATTGGTCACGTAGTTTGTGAACTAGTACTAAACAGAAGATAGGGCAGTTTGATTCTAAATGGTATAGAGAAGAGATTGAAAGTGAAAGTGAAACCATCAGAAACATTTTTTGAAGAGAACCGGTATGTCATATGTTCAAAGATCAGAAGGATTTCTAATGTTAAAAAACTTTTATTCTGATAATCACTTTAAATTTCAAACACAATGATTAAGCATTATTAATACGATCAACAATATCTTGAACGGTGTTCAATGGCTCTACATCCGATGGCTCTGATGGCACATTGAAGACACTGGTCAACGCTTCGGCAATCATCGTATTGAAGTACTCGGCACGCTCTGGATCTTCGGCTTTGAATGAAAAATCGTTTCCGATCTCAGATGCATCTTTTTGAACCAAGAATCCGATCAATTGTTGAACCTTGCCCTCGACCTAAACACATTTGTGCATTGATGCAAAAAAAAAACCTCTAAAATATGCAGTCGTGTGAAGCCCAAAGACTAACTCGTTATCTCAAAAGAATCATAAGAATTTGCTTTATCACTATTGCTTTAATAGATTTTATATGGGCTCATATTTTTACAGCTTGGCGTTTTTGTTCATAGCTTGGTACTGAAAGAAAACTTACAGTTGGTGCGTTAATGTACTCCTCAAACATTTTCGATGAATCAAGTGACCGGGAAGTGGACGAAATCAGTTCTCGTTGATTTCACTTGTCTTCACCGATACTTTTATACTCCAACATAAAGTAGGCGGGTTTCAATTTCGATGCGCGCCGCATATCTTCTTTTTTGGCAGTTCCAAAAAAAATTGTTTGTGTGAAGAAGAAGAAGAACATGAGATCGAATAAAAAGATGAAAAAAAAGCCGAATTGAATGAAATTGGTGCGATAAAAATCTAAGAAAAATTGACCTATCCGGGGTATTTTTGTCACTCTGGAAACCTGTTTAAATTTTTTTTTGGAGAAAAGTTAAGGAATGAAGACGATTTTTGGTCTGAATTTCATTTGAAGTAAGGGAATTGAAACCATGTGATATTATGAATGGTTAAGAGAAAAGATCGAAATCACAAGTTGAGAAAATCAATTTTCTTCATTTCGGCCAATTATTATATTGCATAGACAAACGGATTTCATATGTGACAAATATGTAGTGCTGGATGTGGAATGAAAAAGTGAGACAAGCGAAGTCATTTTCAAACTTTTCATTTATCCCGTTTTGAATGGAGATCGGTGATGGATCAATTAATGTTAGTGGTTAGCTGAAACAACTTTTTTTAAATTTTAGCTGTCTCAAAATATTGGCTTACTCTCATTTGGATTTCCAGGCCGTGGAGGTGAGATCTCATTGAGAACATATTGATTTTGATTCGTGTGGCGGAGAGGAGGAAGGCGACGGGTCTGAATTGGCAAATAATACATTTGGAAATTCAAAAATATTACTAGAAGATTGTTTGGGCGTGGGGAACAAAAATCGAAATTTGCAATTTTACATATTTCTAATTTTTACAAGAATCTTCTAATGTTTCCCATTCTCCAAACAGTAAATTCAACTAAACTCCAAAAGAACCGCGTTTCCAGAAACGCATAATAAAAAATAATGAAACACTGAAATAAATAAAAAAAACTCTGAACTTGTGAGCATAATGTTAGGCGTATCTTGACAGCCACCGGATGAGCTACGTGGTTGCAAATTTTGCTTAGCATCTATAACCATATCGCGGTTTTCACCCTTCAAGTGATTCCCCGCTTTTTTGCCATCTCAACTTAGAACTTCAGAAATTAAGACTTGCTTACCGGCGGAGCTGGAGCTTGCTCATTTTGATTTTCACTGAGAGATATAGTAGCCGGACCCACTGGACGAGCCACGCTGATAGAGAATCCAGTATCTCGTGATCGTTTCACAAAATGTGCACATCGAACTTCAATCCACTAAAAACAAATATCAACCAAAATCCCTAAATAACTTTGCTCACCGTTGCATAAAGAGCAGCAAGTACGATGACGGCAAACACAATAATCGTAGTCAGATACGCGCCAATGTTCTCATTGGTCCCTGTTGCACGAATGATGAACCAAGTTTCAACAGTGCAAAGGATCGAAACGCAAAGGACTCTGAAAACACACTTCTGACTGGTCTTTAATTCACAGATAGGCTGGAATGAGTCATTTTGTCTCCTTTTTCGAGAAGACCTCCTCATTAGCATGACGTAACAATCTTACCTGAAGATGAAGTGCGGGATGAAAAACCAGTAGCGAATGGTTTTGATTCCATAAAACATTGCAATCACTGTCATTATCTGGAATCAATTAAAAATTTAGATAGCTTACTTCTCAAACTACAGCATTACCTGCAGAATCGCCCAAACAAGACAAGTGATGTTGTTGTGACAAAGAGCAGCGCTGATATAAGTGATGTTCCTGACATTGCTGTATCTTTTGTGAAACGGTTCTTGGATAACTGTAACTTACTCCAATGTGAACTCCTCGAAAAGTCCATCACTTTCGGTTTGGTTGCCGAGTTTGTCACAGACACGGGTCGTGACGTCAGGAAGGACTGAAAATCAACTTTTTCAATTTTTGAAACTTCTGCTTTTCAAATTGACGCAGTCAAACAAAGTAAACATACCAGCTACAAGAAGAAAACAAATTGTGAAAATCTCGAATATTCCAATAAAAATCGTAAATGTCTTCGAATGACAACAGCATGCTTTGTAGACCCTGTCTTTTGGATTGAAGCCATCCGGATGCTGGAAATGCATCACCACATTTCCACTTCTTCCCCGCTTGTTTGCCATGACTCAGAAAATATGACTTCAATCAATTTTACTTCTGAAAACGTTACTTCTGAAAACGAAAAAAAAAACTAATTTTGAATTATCACCTGAGGTTTAGAATAAAGAAAAACAAAAAATGAGGATGAAAAACAATTATGTTCAAAATAGAAGAGAGAAAATTGTTTAGCTGGCGTTTAGTAGTAGAATTTCGAGAAAAAGTTGACGTTTCGTATACTTCAAACAGAGTTTTCAAAAGAGTATAAGGGAAAACAACATTTCTAAAGGTATAATTAGCACGTATGATGTGAAAATATGAAGGTGAAGAAGGAGAAGAGAAAAATAATGGGTAGAGAAGTGAGAGTTGAGATTATGACGTGGCTTCACCTTAGATGGTAAGAGAGATTTTTCTAACTATGCACTATTGAAAACTTACGGATCAGTATTATGCTGGGTTCAAAAAAATCGGGGTCTGGACCAGAAACGCTGGAGGGTGTGGCTTAAAGTCGTAGATCAAAAACGACGGTAACCTGATTATACTCTCATTTTCATTATTTGTTTTCAGGTTTTTTTCCCTATTTTCTCCTAATTTCTCCTGATTTGTCCAAAACCAAACTTCGGAAAATAAAAATTTGTTGACAGTCAAAAAACTGACTGGAAACGCACGAAAATCGTGAAAAGTTATAAATGTTGAAATTTTAGTTTTTTAGTTTAAGTTAGTCCTCGTATTGGGATCTTTGACCACGTCGACCAGGATCACAATAACAATCATTAGGATCAAAAAGAAAAAATTTTGAGAGAATTCGAAAAATAAAGAATATGTAGTTTCTCAGTTACTACGTGAGAAATTGAAACTGGAAAGTCTAGAAAAGAGCTGATTGAAGAATTGGAGTTCTACATTTTATCGAATAAAAAATTTTAGGGAAAAATCACATTTTCTTGATATATTCTAGACATCCAATAAGTTGGAGACAAAATTGCTTTACAAATGGAAACGAAAAATTGGACTACCCCTGGCTCCGCGAGCACACAAGATGCAGGTGTCTCGCGTTCAATTTGGCACCGAGAATGCCTTGAACATGCAGTCTAATGTGAGATCAAGGATTTCGGAATTAAAGTGTTTTGTGAGAAAGTAAAGCTAGGAGATTAATGTAAGGAAACTTTGGGAAAGTCTAACGGAAAATTTTGGATTCCTGGAAACAATAAGTTTAGCTTGAAAATCAAGAATTCAGAAATAATGAAAACATTTTTAATTTTATCTCAAATCTGAAAATTCTCATCTTTAGGATTTTTTATATTTGTCTATTCAGTTATCTTTCACATACGATTCAAAAATAAACTATTTGTTGTTTTTTAAAAGCTCTATAATATTTTTCTTGTCTATTTTTTAGTTGTTTCCGAATTCCTTTAAAAAACCGATCTAGAAACAAAACAACAACAAAATTGACATGATGTATGTCCAAGAAAATAAGACATATGAGCTTCCAACAAAATGCAGGAGCCAGTTTGTCCAACTCGCCAGCTGATTTTGTCTCTAATTTTATCTTTTTTTGTGTGGGTGCTACAAATCAATTTATAAGGAGCCTAACCTGATAATTCACATTCTGTTGGAGTGGGGAGGAAGGAAAAAAGAGGGAGGAGGAATGAAATTTTCGAGAAACTCGAATTCTGAGAATGGTGAGAATATTTGTGGCCGGCGGAGTCAATAATTATTGAAACTTTCAGTTCAAAATGTCAAGGGAAACTTTTTGAATGTGAAAAACAATAAATATGAATTTTTTATTTTGTACATTGGTTTCCATATAATTTCACTGGAATAAAAAAATGAGAAGCTCTCCCATATTCTAAACAAATTAACAAAACAGACAAGGATATGACGATTTCTCCGCATTGAAGCCTTTCAAGTTTTCTGGATGCATCTGAAAAATGAATATTAGGAAATAAACGAAATATTCTAAGAGCATCATTTCTATTTTTCATGATTCCCCTTTCCTTTCCCAGGAATCCTGGACCAAGATGACGAAAACGTCAAGCCTTACATTTCATCTTTGAAACCAACGCACTCTTTGGAGCTCAAACGCTCAAAACAGAGATAAAAAATGCACGAAAACTACGAAATTTGTTCTCACCTATACGCTACAAAAACCACAGACATTACGATCAGCAAAGCGATGAATATCACGGAGCTCTGTGTCAGAATATCCAGCGTTTGTTCAGTAGCTGGATCCATGTCAATAGCAGAGCAAGGAGTGATAAAATGAGCAATGTATAGAAAAGATTTCTGTTACGGTGTCCTTGTTTGAAGATACACTATGAGAGTGCGCGGCCTGTCATGATTATATGGACAGGACAGGGAGGTGTGGGTAAACAAGGTAAAAGGTCAGCGGATTGAAATTTCGAAAATGGAATTGGCGAAGATATCAAAAGATCTGATAAGGAAAGTAGAAGAGACACCGTATTTCTTCTAATAGAGGCCCATGGGCTTCTATTTTTCAACCTCCTTCTGGGGGTGAACTAATATTAGAGAAAACGCTCAAATTATAAGGTTTTCGGTTTTCAACTGAACTGTAGTTATTAAACGACAAGAACTAATGGGAAGTACCAAAAAATATACAAAAAAGAGTAAGCCTGCATTAACCGAAAAGAAAAATGCACAGCCAGGGTGGGCTTCTATTAGAGAAAATACGGTATACACAAGAAAACAAGTATTAAAAGAGCTTCTTTAATAGAAGGGCCCTCCAAGAGGCGGTTCGAGAAAACAGAGCCCCTGTAATAAAAGAGTACCCTTCAAAATGTATTGTGAAAACTGAAATATTGCGTTCCACAATTTCATAGAAGCTCATCGAAAAACGTTTTTTTTTCAGAATTAAAGAATAAATAAACCCTCTAATTGAAAAGCAACTGTAGTAGAAGGCCCTTCTGGAGGTACTTTAGAATAATAGAAAGCCGAAAAGATCCTCACTCGCCAAAAAGATCCTCAATTATCCCAACTTTGAGAAAAGTTCTTCCCGAATTGGTTGAACTTAACTTTTCCCTCTCATCCAGCATTCTAAAAATCCGTTTATTTCATAACATTCAAGTTTTCAGAATTAAATAAACCCTTTTTATTGTCTTCCCGTTCAATGCACTTTCAAAAGAACCACCACCCACTTAGACCCAAAACGATAAAAAGGCCTGGTTTATGGCAAATTCATGTATTGCAGAAGGTCCAAAAACGTTTGGCCCTACGAGGTCCCCTATTTTAAAAGCAATTAGGTGAATGTCTGAGAGATGCCTCATAGAACATAGTCTTTTTTGAAAAGCTATTCACTGCATTTGGTTTTATGGAATCGGTGAAAAGTGGGTGGCCTAAGAGCTTCTCTTGGAAAATTTCTGTAATTGGGAAACAATTCAATTGAGGTCTTTTGGTGCGAGACTACTCTCTCCGCTATAAAAATTATTAGAATGCGCGCCTACAGTAACCCGGACGGTATTTATTATTTCTTTGCTCCAATGTTATGAGTGTTGTTTCTCCAAAAGTCGGCATTCATAATTTCCAGAGCTCTTTTTGTCAAATGTGTCTAAGTCAGCGTACAACATTCTGATTGCCTGTAATCATAGTTCAGCCGAACTATTTTTTCTCCTGTTCCAAAAAAAACGCTTTCATAAAATATATGTCTTACTATAACCAGGACGTTTGTTTTTGTAATTTTGGCCAATTAATCTGTTCTTCTAATCTTCAAAGCTTTTTTTTTTCACCGATTCTATTTTTTGACCATTTCCTTTTTTTGTTCTGACCATTACTATGAATACAATGTTCTTGATTTTATGTACCTAATTTTAACAAGAAAGGACACACAATTTTCATCTACCTAGTAGTGCCAGGTTAGGTTCTGACTCCAATGTTCCATTTCTCATCTATCTTCTTTGCAGAATACACATACAGATATCCACCTCGGTTTTTGAGATTTCAAAGGTTCTGCTGTCATTTAAAATCGTACAGTTGTTTTTTTAAAATGTTATATTGGAGCCAACGCTACCGTATACCAAATGCGATTCCTATCTGAACCGACTAGGATGAATGCCCTTTTCCTTAAAACCCAAATCCTGCAAATCTCGGAAACGCTCGTGTGTTTTCATTATAATTATGGTTTGAGCGGAAATATGGATATACATCTTCGGTCGTTTTTTCATCTTTTTTTTCCATCATCTCATTCTCCTTCTGTCGGTATAATGGCTCTAATCTCCTCTTGTTCTCCGACGTTTTCCAATGGGCGGTTCGAAAGCAGAAGACAATTCTGTTTCTGTTTTTTTTTGAGACCGACTCAAGCCACGCCTATAAGAGGGCACGACTACAATACGATTGATTTTGGGACTGAAGAAAACTCATTCATTTGTTCTGGCCAAGATATTTTCTATCTGTTTCCCTTTTCCTGATTTCATCAATACGCTTTCGTGTTTCGTTTCAGAAGCAGCTTGACTTGTCTATATGTTCCGCTGGATGCGAAACAGGAACAAACCAAAAATGAAGACTCATTGGGATCTGTATCCAGACTTAAAGCTGTTGAAGTCAGTGGGAAAACGGCGGACTATCTCTTTTATGTTTTTCTCCTACTTGTTCCTCTTCACTGCCGCCGAGACTATTGGAGCCGTGGAATTTGTGAATGTAGAGGTCTAGAATTCAGGAATCTCCAGTTTTTCTTACAGAAATGCAGCATACTGGCCGCTCAAGTTTTCATGACATTCGTTATCGTCCCAAGTGCCCTTGTTTTCGATCACGGAATTAATAATTTTAAAGGAATCTTGCTCATGCCGATGGTGACACTAACGGTAAGTGAATTATGATGCACTGTAAGTCTATCAAGGTCTCAAGACAGCAAACTGTGTAATACATTATTTAAAAATAGGTGGACGTTATGACTCGGAGATTTCAACTACAGTACCGGGAAATGCTCATGTTTGAAAAAAATCGCTTTATGAAGTTATAGCCTTTAAAACCAGGCATGGGATTTTTTGTATAAAAACTAAAATTTTGATTTCTGATGTCTCTGATTTTCGAAACACGTCACTGATCTCTAGAACTACAAGACGTCGTTCACTACAAACCTTAGGTTTTCTTTTCCTTTCAATTGAAGTATTGCAATCGTTTATTTTCACGAAAACTCAGAAAAAAACTTCCAGATGTGTGCTCTATCCCTAGTTGTGATGTTATTCATATTCATGACTAAAGCCATTTTCCTGGTTCCACCATTCCATGTTCTTCTCTTGGGTGAAAAAGTTGAAAAAATAACAAATTGGTACATCTCGAATAATTATAGCCTATAACATCTGTATCTTCACAATCTCTGCTTTGCTGACCGTAATGATGACAAAGTGTTTGGATACGTTGTGGCAAGGGTATCACTTGATAGGATCCGTTTGCAAGCATCCTGAACTTGTCAAAAACTTGAAAAACAATGTTCCATTGGTGCAAGAGCCAGAGGTTGTGCGAAATCAAAAGCCAAATGTTCGTCAAGTGATTCTCGACAGAGTTCGTCGGCGTTAAGAAGGTTAATCGACTATAAATGACCATTCTAGAGATGTTTTGTTTTACAGATTGTTCTCGATATAGCTTTATGCAAACTAATGTTTCAAATTTTTTCAAATTCAAATTTATATATGGAAGATTTATCGATTTTCGTCATTATCAATTATTCATTGCGAGAGAAAGAGACAGCCTTGAGAAAGTGAGTCTTCATTATATCGGAAACCATAAATTGATGCTCTTTCAGGCTGACAGTTATTCACTTCTGCTTACCAACATGTAAAAATTTTAAAACAAGTTTTTCATTCAACAGGGTCTGAGATCAAAATTTTCCAGATATATCAATATTAATAACACTAACAACCATTTTTCAATTAACGACGAGAGATTGCCAACTGTTCAGAGGATTCGTGATTTGGGAGTCATTCTCAATTCGTCACTGACCTTCTCTGACCACTTCGCTACCACACTCCGGAAAGCACACCAACGAATTAACATTTTCTTTAATGTTCTCCGCCGGTCTAAAATGGATAATTTCGTAAAATGTTTTGTCATCTACATTCGCTTCATTCTTGAGTATGGTTTTCTCCCCCGTCCTCAAGGAGCAAATCAAGCTTCTTGAAGGCGTCCAAAAGTCAATCCTGTTCCGATATTACAAGAAGTTCAACTATCCCTATATATCCTACTTTGATTGTCTCTGTGATCACAATTTAGAATCCTTAGAGTACCGTCGACTTCAATCCGATCTAGTTGTTATGTATAAAACTCTAGTTTCCCGGGAAATTGCAATTGCCCATAATCTATTCATTGTCCCGTTTCATCATAATCATCTAAGACGCCACCCATATTACATTCGCTGTACATTAAGAAATGCTTCAAAACTTTCTGCTCAATTTCTTACTCTCCGTATTATATCCTGCTGGAACTCGCTTCCAAAAACCGTGTTCCCGCCCTTGACTTCATCCATCTCTTTTAAAACTAATTTAAGTCATGTTAATTGATCTTCTTTCCTGTTCCTAGACAAACATAATTTCTAACTCATTTGTTTAATTTGTAACACATTGATTTTATAAGTGACTGATAGTCCTGAATCAAATAAATTATTATTATTATTATTTAATCACATGGTGAGAAGATCTGCTTGCCTTTTATTGAATTTTGAAGAATAGTTTTCATTAATTTGTTTTCTCCAAATTTGTAATTCCCTGGAATCTTGTTGCTGCTTAAATTGAAAAGGAAACAATGAAGTTGAAACTTATTAATCATACAACTGAAAAATAATAAAATCACATGAAATGTAATTCAGGTGAGACTTGTAACAGGAAGTCAGCTTTGTGTTAATTGTTGACTCTACTTTGAAATTATGGTCGTTGAGTAATCCGTCCTTTTAAAAATTTTCTAAGATTTTAAAGAACTTCTTTTGAATTTTTTGAATTTAAATTTGGATTTCTTCGAGGACCAGAATTTTCTAGGAGAGCCCAATTTTTTTTGTTTTCTAGCAAAACAGCTATGCAATCTGTTGAAAATCATATGATACAAGAATAACCCTTTGTATCTTACCTGATGACAGTTGCGCTACAATCTGTCAGCCAATCTTTAAAAAAAAAACTATCCTCATTTCCATCTTGTCCGATCTACCTCATAAAACTTAAAAAATGAGACTTCAAACTTCTTCACCTCTTCCCCATTAACCTTGACACGTCGTGAGTGGATTTTCAATGTGTTCCTCAATGTCTATGCAACTTGTATTCAAAATTATTTCTTCTCTAGTGTTCAAGTATTTTCCTTCTGCTTTTTTTTCAAATCCTTTCTGTTCTTCCAAAACAAGACAATTAGTCACGGGGTGTTATCAAAGGAAAAAACTCAAACACAGGTTTGAAGTGTTTAGCCGATTTGCTCTTATCTCTCATTTCCGACATTGTTCCACTCTTGAAAGCTCTCGTTTTTCGCATTTTCAAAACCTTTGAAAACGAACCCAGAATGAGACAAATTTCAAGCCAAATCAGTTGCTCCTATGAGCCATTTGTCTTAATATCGAGTCAAACTAGTTGTGCAGAATCACCGCCATGCACACATATATTTTGTTGGAGAAATTTCAATTGCATGATTGGTGAGTTTTTTTAATTGAAACCCCGACCACTTTGAAATATTCAAATCCCAAATTTTTTTTTCTAATTATTTTTTCTTTTTTTTCCAGGATTTTTAGAAAAAATCGAAAAATAGTTTTTCTTGATTTGTTATTAGAATGTTCCCCATTCGCTTTCATATTATGAAGCCTATTCCAATAAAAAATTCAAGTGAGAAACTTTTTAGAAGTTTTCTAAAAGTACTGATTAGCAAGACAAATATAGTCTGTTGATCCCTTTCGCCACGTAGAGGCTCAGTACATAGAAAAGGAAAATGGTTTTTACCGGGGAAAAAACCAACCAAAAACCCCATTGTTCTCAGTCTGATCAGTATTTGCAGTATGACTCCTGTTCTAGTGATAAGCTCTTCCAGTATGAACCGAAGTCCAACTGGCCGATCAGACTAACTAGCCCATTACCCAACTGGCCTACTTTCACAAACTTCGAACGGTGTCCTCGGCCTGATCAGTATTCGCAGTGTGTGTCCTGTTCTAGCGATAAGCTCTTCCAGTATGAACCGTAGTCCAACTGACCGATCAGACCAACTAGCCCATTACCCAACTGGCCTACTTTCACAAACTTCGAACGGTGTCCTCGGCCTGATCAGTATTCGCATTGTGTGTCCTGTTCTAGTGATAAGCTCTTCCAGTATGAACCGAAGTCCAACTGACCGATCAGACCAACTAGCCCATTACCCAACTGGCCTACTTTCACAAACTTCGAACGGTGTCCTCGGCCTGATCAGTATTCGCAGTGTGTGTCCTGTTCTAGTGATAAGCTCTTCCAGTATGAACCGAAGTCCAACTGACCGATCAGACCAACTAGCCCATTACCCAACTGGCCTACTTTCACAAACTTCGAACGGTGTCCTCGGCCTGATCAGTATTCGCAGTGTGTGTCCTGTTCTAGTGATAAGCTCTTCCAGTATGAACCGAAGTCCAACTGACCGATCAGACCAACTAGCCCATTACCCAACTGGCCTACTTTCACAAACGTCGAACACCTAAACTGAATTTTTTCGCCCGTATTGGGAGAAAAGGGGAGGGGCTTGGCCCACCTGCACCTGGCCTAACCCTTCCCGTGGAAAACTCCGCCCCCTTTTCAAACGTTTTAGGCATTGTTATCGTCATCAGATGAGTAATTAGGGAGCAATAAACCCAAATAGTGAGCGATGTTTTGAAATACATGTGACAAGGCGAAGAAGAAAAGACAATAGATGACCTCATTCGCATCTTTTGATCCTTTGTTATCGATCGCGGAGCATAATAGAACAACGCCAAGGATTTTCCGCCAACTGAAAATCCCTAGAGTGAGCTACTGATTTCGTTATTTGGTATTAGAAAAATTCAAAATTTAAAAAAGTTTCACTTTTGATCATCGGTTTCAAAGAGAACCCATCTCTCCGGCCATGGTATCATCAGCCTTGCCATAGCTTGCTTTTTCAAGCATATGATAATTCAATAAGCTCGCATGGAATGACTCCCAAGTGTTACCCTCGAAAAAAATCGAGACCTATATGGTTGGATAGAGCGTAAAAAGTTATTTTAGATTCCAAACGGAATAGTTAGTAAAAAATTTCGTTTGGGAGTTATGGTCCAAAAAGTACCAAAAAATGCCTAAATTTTCAAAAAATCATAACTTTGTCAGTTTATGTCCGTTTGTTGAAATTTAAAAAACAGTAGATAGGCAATTGATTGAACATTTGAAAATGAATTTTTTTTTAATTTTTTTCCTAATGATTGGTTTATTGATTTTTTGAAAAAATCAAAAAAAATTTTAATATCTCAAAAATCCTAGGTTAACTTTTCTTCTGATTATGACCATTGAATTTAGCACATTTGATTTACTATAGAAACATATCAATACCCCGAGGGAAATCATGCTCACACAAGTTATGCCAAAAAATTTCGATTTTTGGCACTTGGTTTCTTTGAATTCGTTGTCCTCGGCGGCCGGTGCGACATACAAAATCAATTTTTCAAATGCCGTACCATTTCTTAAAATCATCATATTGAAAAAAGCAAAATTTTGACATGTGACAGGGCACATCTATAGTTAAACTTGATAGAAACTGCCAAACTTATTTTTTAACATAATCAGAAGAACATAATCTTATCAACGGCTTGAACAGAATTTCGATTTAGGCTCTAGAATCAAAAATATTTACGATTTTCCGAGCCTGACCCCTATTTTTGGTGAAGTGTGACATGTGACAGGGCACATCTTTAGTTAAGCTTGATGGAAATAGCCAGACTCTTGTTTAAACATAATTAAAATGACAAAATCTTATCAACCGCTTGAACAGAATTTTAAATTAGGTCCTAAAAATAAAAATATTCACTGATGATGGGACACCTTTTGTTTTTGATCATAACTTGAGAACGAAAAAAAATATAAAAAAACTGGTAACGCCATTCGATTTGAAATTAAAAAATACTATCAGACAAATGTTATTGGTTTTTTTTGTATCGTGAAAATAGGTGAAATGGAAAAAGGTCGATTTCGGCTGTCCGAAGCTGGAAGGATATCATTCGGAAATCGTTCATTTAACCTACTTTCACTACAGGGAACAAGTTGATTCCACTTTTTCTACGTTATTGTTTCATTTTAAATCGAGTGGAGTTACCAGTTTTTTGATATTTTTTTTTCGTTCTCAAGTTATGATCATAACTAGTGTGAGCATGATTTCCCTCGGGCTATTGATATGTTTCTATAGTAAATCAAATGTGCGAAATTCAATGGTCATAATCAGAAGAAAAGTTAACCTAGGATTTTTGAGATATTAAAATTTTTTTTGATTTTTTCAAAAAATCAATAAACCAATCATTAGGAAAAAAATTTAAAAAAAATTCATTTTCAAATGTTCAATCAATTGCCTATCTACTGTTTTTTAAATTTCAACAAACGGACATAAACTGTCAAAGTTATGATTTTTTGAAAATTTACGCATTTTTTGGTACTTTTTGGACCATAACTCCCAAAAGAAATTTTCTACCAACTATTCCGTTTGGAATCAAAAATAACATTTTACGCTCTATCCAACCATATAGATCTCGATTTTTTCGAGGATAACACATGGGAGTCATTCCATGTCAGTCAAAGTTTCAAGTTCTCGAGGACTGAAAAAAAAACAGAAAAATAGAGATTTATCCCATCATGGGACCAAGGAAAAACCCATTGGTCTTTTAGTTAAAATGTAATTATTTTTTCCTCGAATTATTTGTTTCTGATTTCTGAACCGCCACTTCTTTTCTTTTCTCTCCTCTACCTCATTCAATATACTCAATCATTATTTGCATTTCCACTTTTTACTCCCCATCCGATAGAACGTTAGTGGCGCTATTTTTTTGTGTAGTACTTGATAGAAACCTTCAGAGTGGTTGGAATGAAAAGAGAAGATAAGATATAAGACATTTATAATATCCAACACCTTTTTCATACGTTTTTGCTTTCTTTTCTCAATGCGCCACCAAATAAATTCCTCAATGACGGGATATGTTATGAGAAGCGTTAGGCTGTGTTATCAGAGGAAAAAGTGAAAGAAAACGCGGAAAAAATTTCGAGATAATATATACGCGTAGTGCTGGCGTAAGATCAGGTTTAGAAGTGATTTGAAAACACTTTTTCTTTTTTTTTTGAATTTTTTTCTTTAATTTCGTTTGAATACTGTATTGACTCCTAGTTTTAAATTTAAACAGTCAGAAAAGTTTCAAAAAGTTTTTGTCGAAACCTTTCTTTTTTCCTGGGGTGTCCTTGAGACCACCGTCGCTAGTTGCGAATCAGGTTTTTACAAATTCCATTTTGAATTGTTTTTTTTTTCGACACATAAATATTCTCCTTTCCGCATTTCTCGACCAAAAACCTACACTTATCTGGTCAATTTGACCTAAAAAGCAAGAAAAGTGGATTTAAACGAAAAGGAATGAGTGTACAAATTGGTTTGGTTCCTGAAAATCTTTTTTCCTACCCTTTAAAAAGCTCTATCGTTTGTCTTTTCAAGTAGCTGTTAGACGGAATTAATGTGCCCCTTGAGACGTTGCACTGGGAGAAACAAAAAAGGTCCTTTTGCCTTGATTGTTGTCTTTTTTGTGTCCCTAGTTTTTCTACTTCTTAAAGTGACTAGATGTTTTGCACCAGAACGAAATTATGGTTTTTTGCCGTTTTTCTTGAATTCTGAAAATGACGAGTAATGAAATTCATGGGTGTTAGATTTCGCTAAATGCTCCTTGTGAGAAGACTACGGCATCATGGATTTCTCATTTATGGGGCAGCTGTTGGTACTTGGAAATTTGAAAATTGTCTAAGCAAATATTATTTATTATTCCCTTGAATATGACCCAGTTAGACTGGATTTTTCCCGTGCGGAAAGTTTTGAAAATAGTATTTATGTATTTTCTGAATAGTATTAAATAATCAGACAGTTTTGGTACCAAAGGATAGATCTCGACACGGCCTATCACGCATATATCATTAAGGCCTAATTCCATCCCGGTAACATGCCGCAATTTTAGCTTAAATGACAATTTTCGACATCTTATCGGGATGTAATCCGGCTCAAATGATATAGGCGTGATGGGCCCTGTCGAGATCTATTACTTGGTACCAAAACCGTCCGAAAATCTCGCTCTAGGGACAATTTATCAGCCGGCCCGCTTGCAACTATGGTTAACTAATTAACATTAAAACAGTTTGAAAATTGAGTTGGTACTATTTCAATTGAAAAAAAATTAGTATTGGCGGAATATTTTTTCCCCAAGTAATAAAAAATAATTGTCAAAAAACTATTGATTACCCAATTTTAGAAGATTTGCCATTTTTCGTAAAAAAGTTCAAGATTTTAGACATTCTGAATACTTCTTGGAGACTCTTTTTTAGATTCAAAGATTCTTAAAACTTTGTTTTGGCCAAAAACAGTTCTCCAGCCCAATACTGCCCTTGGCAACATGCCACAGAAAAAAAAAACGAGATTCCATTTCCACCATTTATTTTTGTTTCCCACAAGACGTACGTATAATAAGCGTAAAAACCTCATCGTCAATTTTTTTTTGTTGTTTAAACTAAGCCGCCCGCCCTTATATAGTAGAAAAAAGTGAGAACCAAACCATTTCTCTAAAAGCTTTCGGTTCGTCCTTGTCGTGTTAAATGTCATTTTATAAGTTACTCAAAAGTGTAAACACGTTGTTGCTTTTAAACTTTTCTTCCTTTTCAACGTTGACCCAATGAGCAGACACAAAATACCTCTGTTAGCACCTATACCTAATATTTGCCAACTCTTAGTTTTCTCCCATATCCCTGACAACAAGACATGCTCAAGATTTTGAGAAAGCAATGACGAGAAAAAAAAACGAGCGCGATACGTAATGTGCGAAGCTGGCAACTCTGTTAACATATCAGGATGTAATAGATCCAATCATTTCGTCTCCTTGATGTCATCACTGATTGGAAGAGGATGTGGTTCTGACCAGTTCTTGTTTTGCCCCTACCACCTGTTTTCTTCTATTCTAATCATACAACACCACACGTGTTTCAGTTTCTCCCATAATTGAATGGAAACTCATATCAATTTCTCTTCTGATACCTACATCTTTATCCCACATTGCATCCAAGACGTAGTTCTTCCCACGACTTTGTTAGTTAGTCATGCAAAAATGATAACTGACAACCCCCATCATCACCACACCTATACTTGTAAACGCCTTGACACATTTTTTCGCCGCGTTTTTTTTCTTATCTTCTCTATGATGAACTTTTTCGTATTTTAAAGCACAGAAACGTATTTGTACCTCCTTTTTTCGAAGAAATTCATTTTCATCTAAAGGAAATTTTAGAATTACACAAATAATTTTTTTTTAAGTTTGGAAATTTGAATTTTTTACGAATTCCAGGAAGCAGAAAAACTTGCTACCGACTGAGTGATTCATCTAGAATTGGTCATGAAAAAATCACAATTTCTTACTATTCTGATTATTTCTGGACTGAAATATTTCTACTGTATCACATTTTTCTAGCTTATTTTCAAAATCTAGCACTACAACTTGAAAAATCACACCCACTATATTCAAAAACTGAGAAAAACCGCTCGAACCCCATATAAAAGAAAAAAGGAATCATAAACCATTCATACGCATTCAAGTGTTAAATATCAACAAGTTCAGGATACAATACCTCCAGTCAAAAACGTTCTTCTCTGTAAATACATTCAGTTCATGCCGAGGCAATTCTGTATTCAAACAACCCCTCCCCTCCGCACCTCCCAAAACTCCGCATGAATTTTCTTTTCTCTATTTCTCTCCCTCTCTTTCCCTGAATCTTTCTCTTATTACTCCTCCTGAATGAATAATAGCCAAACCTGGAAGAACACAACCCCTAGATGACTCAAATTTCATTCAGCACAAGGTAACCTGAGGACCGAGACATTCACATAGTAGTAAGTAGGGTAGAAAACTAGTTTTGTATTATCATACTATTTCCTTTTCTTCATTTTTTTCATTTTCTTTTGTAAAGACCACCCATCTCAAACTTAATGATGATGTATTATTGTGGTCAAGAGATTTACCAGTATTAGTTGTTTCTTATTAGATTTAGCTACCTGTCTACAAGGGAATACAATTCTCTGACGTCTTCTATACACTTTTCAGTTGTTTTGGATAACAAAATAATGATAAAAGCGTTTTTTAAAACAAAAAGTTTGTCAAAGTGTCCATTTTACCCATTTTACAAAAATTTACAATAACGCCTGAACTCTATTATTGCCTATTTTTTGTTGAAAATCGCGAGCTTTAAAGGTCTGAAAAATTGAATAGATTTTGATAAATAAGACTGAAACATTTCAGATTTACTAAACGAAACAGAGCTTCATTTTTTGTAGACAAAATTTTGGAACAAATTCATCAAAAGTGCTAATTCCGTGGATTTAGCCATTTGTTTGGTTTCAAGCGGTGTATCTGAAAATTATAGCTCTAGTTTTGTTCAGATATACTCATGATTTTTGAAACAAATTGAAAAGTTTTACACTACTTTTTCCAGTGCTTCAAAGCTGACTATCTTCAACTAAGCACGCCAAGATACTGTAGCTAACATGATGTCCACTTGAAATGTTCTTTTTATTCAAAACGCTCCGCTTGCGATCGCTTAATCTAATCACATTAAAAACATCAAACCTCTTTAGGGTTTGCTCCAACCCTCCGCCTATTTGCCGAAAGTTTCAACGTGTTTTGTTTGACGTTTTGTGTGCTCGGCCACCGGGAGGGGACACCTTTATGCTCTTCCTCACCCCGCAATTCATATACAAATTGCATATCACCAGCAAAATATTCAATAGCAATCATCTCTTTTATCAGCGACGTCTCCAGTTTGGCATTCTTCTTCTTCTTTCTGTACAAACAAACTGATATATTTGTGTACAGAACTCATTGATATTTATTCTTCTTGTGTTTTCAAACTGCATTTTGATATATTGAATCGATTAGAACTCTGTGCTTGAGCGGTTTACCCTTTTTGATTCAAAAAATAAATACAAAAAGCACCTGCTCGAGTTTTAAGGAAAAAGAAGAGAAGTAGAAAAAATGAGAGGAGATTAGGTTTAACAAACTCTGGTAAACACTAGGGTATCATTGTACTTTCTCGATTTTTTTGAATTTCAAAATTTCAAAACTTCTTCCCAACAGAGCACCCGTATATAATTTTTATCACATTCCTCTTCTATGATATGACTCATTTTCCCTCACCTTGAAAACACTTTCTTCTCGTCTCAATACAACAATTTTTATTGTATATATTTTAGTTTCCAGCAGCTTCTGAAATTCTATAGGCTTCCGTGAAATCGATATCTTCCTACGATTTTTGTGAAATGATTAAAAACAATTTTCACCGCTATAAAACTGTCGCTCTTCTTATTTTTTGTCCTTCTCATAAATCACTCCCCGGGGTTGACTTGAAATTTCTCTTTGAATCCCATTTTTCCTTTTTTCTGCCACCACTCCACTCACAAACACACACACATGGTGGTCAATAGGATTTTTAGAGTTACTTTTGCCATCAACGAATAACTGGTTTTCTGTTTCTTACATTTTTCCAGACCCATCCATTATTCTCCTCCCCCCCCCCCCTTTCCA